GTCCCATTTATTCCTGACCTTCAGATATATGAGCTATTTTAAATGACAACGTAAAGAGTTCTTGTTTGAAAACGCAAGCTACTTTAGACTGCATATTACTCCTTCTAAGTATAGCGTATGGCAACATCACACATTTTTATCTAACTGGTATATATTTCAGTTGACATTTATTGTTCTCCTGCATATGTGTCAAATTTCTTAATGATGACTCCGACAAAAGCATAGAGCTTGGTATATATAAATTACATTTGCTACCATATAATCAGTGTTATCTATTAGAATGCTATTTGTGACAAATCATGTTCAAAATAAAAATTGAATTGATTTGTCTGTTATTTTAACATTGTGCCGCTCACAGCAAGCCTTTGATTGAATCTTAAACACTTTAATGTTCTATTTTTGTTTCAGGCAGATCAGAAATGGGGTTTGCACCATTCTCAAAGCTAAAACAATCTGTAAAACAACAAAATCAAATTTCAAAAAGCGTCTTTGTTTTCCAGCCACAGGAGTAAATTTGGTGAAGCTATCGTTACAGGGTACACAACTTGGCGACCAAAGCCTCACACGCACATTTAATTTCTGTGCATCTATTTTCATCTAAATTAGATTTTAGCTGTAATGCAGAGTATGAAAAGCCTCGGCCAGGCCTTTGTCTCTACATTTTCTGTCCACCCATCGCAGGATTCCTCCCAGCTAATCTGAGCTCCACATCACCTCGCCCTGCTCCATTTTGGCAGTGGATTTGGATGATGGTCTGTGTCCTGGGAGCACGGCGGTTCCATTTCCCAGAGCCCCCAAAGGGGTCTCTCTTAAGAGAGCACCTGCTTGACCCAAATTACTTATGAGATGCATCACTTATGACTAGCTCCTGGCTAGCATCATCCCCTTGGGTTAATTCGTTGTTTAGGGCAGGGGTTGGCAAATGAGGGCCCGTGGGCCACCTGTGTTTTTAAGGCCCTCCAGCAAAGAAGAATTTTCACATTTTAAAATGGTTTTTTACGAAAATCAAAAGGAAAATACTATTCCGTGATGCATGAAAATTATATGAACTTAACATTTTAATGCCTATAAATAAAGTTTGATGGGAACCCAGCCACACTTGTTCATTTACATATTGTCTGAAGCTTCTTTCCTGCTAAGATGGCAGAACTGAGTATTTGCGACAGAGACCAGATGGCCCAGAAGCCTAAAAAATTGACTATCTGGCCCTTTAGAGAGAAAGTCTTCAAACCTTGTTTTAGAAGGAAGGGCCTTAGTAATTTATGCTTTTATTAAAAGGGTTGTCACCTTCAGGGCGGGAGGCTGAGGGAGCGTTCAAATAAAACGCCGCGTTCGCGACAATCGATTTCATAGAAAGCTTTATAGACGCATTGGCTGAAAGGTCCTCAAAATGTTAGATAAAAGAAGTTAGATAAAATGAGGGAAAAAAGGACAACCAAGGAAATAAAACAACCCCAACCTTCACCAAGCCACAGATGTGATCAATGTGTATACAAATTATAAAATAAGTCCAAAATGCCCTCAGACAAATGGATTGAAAAATAAGCAATCACCAAAATTGTGTTGAGTTTAAGCAAATGGGAGTGGCTTTGGGTCAAATGGCATTAAGCCAGAGGTCTGTTAGCACCTGCCAGTCACCCAGACCCTGGAGCCGGGGTCTGAGATGATGGAAGGCAGGGAGTGCCTCAGCCAGATGGAGAGGCCTGGGGAGGGTTGCCCTTGGTGTGACCTTCAGGAGAACACATACCAGAAACAAGGCCTAAAGGAACTTGGGGCTGGGTGTTCGGCCCGTTCAGGTCATGGAATGCCTGGTGCCCCTTCCTGATGGTACCCCTGGCTGGTTGGGGAAGGTGGGGTATATGCTCCCTCTCAGCCTTTGGAGAATCCAAATAAATCTGGTTTGAATCCAGATATGAACACAGGCTTTTGTGGGGGACACATGAGCCTCCTTTGGGGGAGCCTATTGTTGGAAGACTAATGGAGGCTGGTGTACCCCATTCTCTCCCCCCCCCCAAGGCCACCTCCATCAGCAGAGAAAGAGGCTTTCAGGGTGAGGGCAGGTGGGGACTCTGCCTGCTGGGTCTTCCCATCTAATGCTGGCTCACATTGTAGAGTGCTGATTCTGGGCTGCGCAGCAGGGGAAACTTTGGGTATTTGTTGGGGGAGAAGTAATTTGCTTGAGGAACTCAGAGGCCTTTGGGAAAAGAGCCAAGACCCCAGCTCTTGAAACTCTTGGGGTGGGAGAGAGTCTGATGAGCAAGGCCTAGAATAGGGCAGGGAGATGAGGGCCTCCAGTCTCTGGCCTTAATCCAACCTCTCAACTTCTGCTTTTGGTGGTGGTGTTCCTTTCTAGAGCCTTCAGCTCAGTTAAGGGTAGCCTCTGAGTCTTGGGCCAGCAAAATGCCAGGCCATGCCCTTTGTGTGCATGATTTATTTAATCTTCTCAAATAACCTCACGACAAGGCATCATCATTGTATAACAGGAAACTGGGGCTCAGAGTGGGTGAGATTCTCACACTAGATCACACAGCAGTCCCATGGCACAAACCAGTGTGAGCCCCCCCCAGCACCCAGCTCTCAACATCCGGAACCCCATCATACCAACTCTGTCGCATTTAGTGTACTTTCGGGTTTCTCATTAATCCTCTCATCTCTGACCTCAGACTGCCTGGGTTCAAGTCTGGGTCTGCCATTTACTGGCTGTGTGACCCTGAGCAAAGTGCCTCAGTTGGTTCATCCGTAAGACGAAAATGTTCGTAATAAAGAATACTAATTAAATAAGCTATTCCAGGTAAAGGACTTAGACCAGAGCCTGACATAAGCAAGCACATTAGCAGCTGCTGCTGGTCTTATTATTGGTCAGTGATGCCTGATCTGCCTCCCTCCTGGGGTAGAATCCCTGGAAGAAACATACGGCAGTAAAGAGCACTTCATTAGTGGCCAGGGGTCCTGGGTGCGGGACCGTTTTGTGTTAATGATTCACAGTGTGGGCTCAGAGACATAACGCCCCCATCCCCAACCCATGTTGGCAACATTCCCGGGTCCCTTTGCCCCAGTTGGTAATTGACAATAACAATATTTCCTGAGCACGTGGGGGCCAGATTTACCTGCCTAATCTCTCTATTCTCATAACCAACTGGGCTCCTGAGTGAGCTGTTTTGTTATCTTCATTTTACAAAGTAGGAACTTGAGGCTCAGAGAGGTTAAGGAAAGCGTCCAGAGTCACACAGCCAGAAAAAACACAGAGTTGAGATCCGAACTCAGGGAGTCTGCCCCCTGGCCACAGGCTTCACAGCGGTGCTGGAGCAAGTTAAAGCCGTGACTGAGATCCTGTTTAGAGGCAGCCCGTCAAGACTCCGTGGGATGGGGAGTCTGCACAAGCAACCGGACATGCCCTCCCAACAGCCTGCCCCCGGGGCATTCTCACCCAGGAAGATAAAGAAGTGACCGCAAAAGAGCACTTCAATGCTAGGGAAGCCAAAGTATCCCCGACAAAAGGCCCCGTTGTCATAAGCAAATGCACAAACCCTCACCCTCAGTTTGTTTCTTCACATCTCCAGATCCAGGGACATTTGTCTTATCAGGTAATGGAATTGTTTTTAGTGGCAAGAATGAGCTCATTACGGATGCAGCTTGTGCTAATAATGATAATGTGGTCGGCAGTGAAACCACCCCTCTGCTTCCCCCGACAGACGACGCTCCAGAAATTACAGGCTAGGGAGAAACAGCGCGGGTAAAGATTAAGGAAAAGAATTACAGTGGGGGACCGCTTCCACAAAAGGAGTTGCAGATTTGCACATTGAACTTGGTGATCTTAATCACGAAGTTGTGGAAGAATTAGATACTACAAAACCATTTTTAATGGCGTTATTCAATTTTGTTACCTCTGTCACTGGGTCACTATTTTTTGCTTTTGTTTTACAGTTCAAGCCAATTTTCAAAGGCAGTACCAACTGATTTAGTTGGTGACTTAAACACTGATGCGCAATAGGATCCCATGGATAAGATCAAGATGAGAGCTCCTTGCAAGGAAGCATTTCCATCCTGGCCACCCCTCAATTTCACAGGTAAAGAGCTCAACAACCTTGAGTCCAGAGCAGTCATCTACAAATTCTGTGGGTTTGGGAGAGGCGGCCAGGCAGAAACGGCTTCCCCCTCCCTCACTAACGAGGGGCAAGCAGAGCCCTGGCGGGCTGGACCACCTGTCCCGGGCGGGGGACCCATCTATCTCCTGCTTTCCTTAAGGATGGATGCGGGGGTGGGGCGGGGTGGGGGGGAGTCAATCTCCCAGGGTCTTAACAAAGTTGGAAAAAATCTTAACTATATTCACTGAGGTTTGTCCCAGCCCTTTGAACAAGATGCCAGCTACCTTCTACTAAGACATGGCTTTTTTCCTGTAAACATATGATCTCAAGAAGATTAAAATACCTAAAATAAAGATTTTTTTTTTAAGATAACATCTTTTTTCGTGATTATGAAAACAATACCTATGGGCTGTGGAAAATTGGAAAGCACTCAAACAAGAAAATAAAAATAACTAATGGTATACCGTCATCCAAATAACCACAGGTAGCATTATGGGCTAGCATCCTCTCCCCTCCCCTCACTGTTTTAAAAATGAAAAACAGGATCATAGTGTGTGTGTGTGGGTACACATGGGTTTGCTGTTATTGCACAGTTTTATGGCCTGTTTTTCATGTCCTATATTATAAATATTTGTCCATAACAGTTATTCTTCTATCACATTATTGTTTGGTAATGGGGATAGATTGTAATCCCAAGTCCTGTGGGGTTTGGGTTGCTGCTTTGTTTTGTATGACAATCCCCCTGTACACACATCCTTGGTTGTTCCCCTGGACGAGGAAACCTATCTGGGCCGGGGCCCCTCTGGCTGTCTGGTGAAATATGCAGGCCTCTTCTCACAATAAACATTTTTAAATGCAGAAAGCAAAATACATGACATTACAAGGGAAACTAATTATATTGAACTATGATCAAGGTATTAAATAGGATAATTTTATGAACTAATCATGTATTTCTTTATACATAGATTGAATAGCAATATGTTAGGGTGTAGATATAGTCGCTCTAATAACTACATAATTATAAAGTAGTGATCAACACTAACATTATCTTAAGCTGTATGTAACAAAAGTCATGGTACGACCGGACCCTGGCTTCTATTAGGCCAAGGTGACAGGCACGGCTGTGGTTTGTTGCGTAAATGAAGGGAATACTAAATCACACTTGGAGGTTTGTAAAAACAAAGAGGTAACTCTTTTCTCATCAAAGTTCTTTATACTCATCGGAGTTAAAGATTTGACACCTGATTTTTCTGCCCAGGGGACCCCAGTGAAAATTCCCGCCCTGCGCAAGACTCCCAGGAGTAGAGGGTGCTGTATTGTTTCAGCTCTGCCCATTATTGAGCCTTTGGATGCCTGCAATGGTCTCTCAGCTCCGGGAGCTGCATCTGATGTCTTCTGAGGGCCAGTGGATGCAGAGCGAGGGCAGAGAGAGTGCCTGTTAGTGGCAACAAGTATTAGCCAGCGCTATGGGCCGAATTGTGTCCCCACAAAACGCCACGTTGAAGTCCTAACGCCCAGTACCTCAGACTAGGACTTCTTTGGAAAGGGGCTCATTGCAGGTATAATGAGCTAAGTTTAGACACGCTCATCCTGGAAAAGGGTGGACCCTAATCCAGGGTGACTGGCGTCCTTATAAGAAGGATGTGAAGACACAGAGACACAGAGGGGACGTCATGTGACCATAAAGACAGGGATTGTAGTTATGCCCCAAGGAAGGCCGAGGATTGCCAGCAAGCCACCAGGAGCTGGAAAGAGGCAAGGAAGGATTAAGTTTCTGAGGAAGCATGGCCCTACTAACACCTTGAATTTGGATTTCTAGCTTCCAGAACACTTCTGTGTTCTAGCAATATGCCTCTGTTGTCTTCTGGCGTCCAGGTTGAGGTGCTGTTACAGCATTGGTATCGTGAAACAAATGCGTCTCATGTCTGCCAGGTGGGGTCTCCTGAGGAGGGGGACTCTGAAACACCAGGGTGGGGTAGGCATGGCATCGTGCCAGCGCTGGGAACTGCCACGTCAGGACCCAAGACAGCTGACGGGGACCGCTGGTTAGAGGGCGGGGCTAGGGCTACCTCAGAGCCTCACCCAGGTGCACAATGCTACCTCAGGGTAAGGAAGAGAGCGGCCTCACCCTGGCTCTTCTCAAGGTCAGCATAACCTAGAAACCCGTCCTTCATAAAAACCTTCAGCGTGCTGAGGAGTATCCTCTTTATTCCCACACGATGAAAGGTCTTTATCATTGATGACACGCTATTGCCAAACAGACAGGGTGCAGGTGGCCATTGAAAGGATTCTTAGGTTTTGAAATTTCCCTAGTGCCTGTTGGGTGTGGGTGAGGGGCTGGTTCTCATGCAAGAATGGTGAGCTTCTGAGTCCCCCTTTAAGTTCACTCTCCCTGGGAGGCTGTCTGCATCAACTTTCTGCATGCTTTGCTGAGGACAGTGGCTCGAGATAAATCTTCCCGTTGCACGACATATTTGTCCCTTGGGCACAGCCACACGTCACTGGAGGTCTGGGGTCCTCTGTCAGCGGTCTTCCGTGGCCAAGACAGCTCCCACCTGGAAGAGAAACCATCCTGACCAGTTGCAGGCCGATGGCCCAGCTAAACAGGGAGGCTACTGCAAACATTTCATCCCCTTTTTAAAAGTAGTGGGAAAGAAAGAAAGAGCACTCCCTTACCTGGGAGAGAAAAATCCGGATATTTGGGCAGTAGCCCTCCATGCTGCAAAACTTCTGGAGAAGGGGCAGGAGGAGGTTGTGTGGACCCATCTCCATATATTCTAAAGGACAAAAGTCATAGGCTTACTCCTCTTTTTAATAATAAAGACAAGAAATTTAATCTATGTAGGTCCTGTGTGAGCACAGCAGGTTACTTTCTAGTCCTGACGATTTATCCTAAACTTAAAGGATTATCATATCTCCATTTTGCAGAAGGGAAGACTGAGGCCAAAGAGCCGCCCTCTGCAGGGCCATACCATGCCCCTCCCTCAGTGCCCTCGGGCCTTAGGTTGCCGCCAGGACAGGTGGCCCTGTGGGTTTTTACACCCGGCTTCTTCCCTGCAAACCAGCAAAGACCACAAGCAGGGCTTCTGGAGAATGCTGGGTGAGGTGGGATGGGGAGTGGAGGGTGCCTGCTTACCGTGAAGGCCCTGCTATTACCAACAAGGCCCCTTCTGTACAACAAACCAAACAAAAAAGCAGCCCTAGAGCTGGGATGGGGCATGTGCGAACCCCCTGGCCCAGCATCTGCTCTGGCCCTGGTTCTTGTCCCCTGCGGCTGCGCCCCACGCCGGACTCACCCCTCAAATGGCTTCAGGTGCGCCCTCTTGGCCTGCTCCACGATGCCCAGGAAGTCCCTGTAGCAGTTTCTGGCCATGACAGCTTATCGCGTGGCACAGCCCAATTCGGTGACCCTGGCTCTTGGGAGGTAGCCAGCCCAGCCAGGGATCGGGGGCTCCTGGAAAGGTTTCTTTATGTTTTTGCATTCTGTAAAAAGATACCATGCTTCCTGAGGGCTTTGAGAAGCCACACAGGGGTGGTGGTCCCCAGGTAGCTGGCACCCCAACAGTTACCCCAGTGAACCCCTAGGCTTCTAGAGGCCCTAAGATCAGCTACCCCTGGTTGGTTGATTCTGTGTGCCAGGCACCTTGGTAGGGGCTTTACCAACACCCTCTGAGTTCCTGCTCTCACGCACTTTGAGGGGCTGACACCATTATTGCCTCTACCTTATGGAACAGGACACTGAGACTAAGGTCTTTAAGAAGAGGTTAAGAGAGTCTTGGCCAAGGTCACATGACAAGGAAGTGGTAGGGCCAGGCTTCAAACCTGCGTCTGAGTCTCAAGTTCTTTCTCTTCAACAGATCCTGCTCCTCTCTCAGATTAATAAAAAAGCTTCACACATTGCTCTTTTACAGTCTACGGAAAAGAAGCAGCAGAAGCATCCAGGTCAGAAGAAAATACATCAGACTGAGCCCCAGGCATCTGCCTTCAGGTCATGAAATTGACCTGGCGGAATTTCCCACCGGTGAGATGAAAGACCCTGCCCGCCTGCCTCCTCCAGGGGCTGTCAGAACAGAATCAGGCCACTGAGTCCCAGAATTTCAGAGCTGGAAGGCACCGTGGGGAACATCTAGTCCAACCTTCCCTGCACTTGGATGAAGGAACTATAACCCAGAGAGGGGAAGCGATGTGCCCTAGGTCACACAGCAAATAGTCACAGAGCTGGGCTAAATCTCAAACTCTTAGGCAGATGTTCTTTGTTATGGCTCAGAAAACTTTAAAGCCCAATAAACATGTGAGTCAGCCGCCCCAGACAACTATAGTAATAGTAATAAAGACAGTTCTGGAGTCCATTACTTTTCCTATAAGCCTTTAGACCTTAAAAAACGGTCCAGGGCAAATCATCGTGGTGATTAGCCTTATAGAATCACATCGTCAGTTGTTTTTGTCATTGTTATTGTGGTTGTTATTCAGTGCCTGCCAGAGCTGGGTTCCAGCTGAGGTCTGACCTCAGACGAGGACCACTGCCTCTGCAGACTCGCTTCCCCCATCTCTAAAATGGGAATAATAGTATCAACGTCGTGAAATAATGGTGCCCAGCGCAGAGAAAGCAACCCCAAAGCATACATACTGAGACAGCAGGTGCTGTCTGACCGTTCATGGCCACCTGCAGGGGGGAAGGGGGGTCCCCGTTTGCAGCCCCCTCTGGCCTGACCAGGACCGTGTCCCTCTCCCCCAGGAGATGTTTCTTTCTCATCGTATGAAACCAAGCCTTTCCGCCTTGCACCACACCACCTGGGGATGCAGACGTGGGTTGGAGTCCGTGCTCCGGGCGCGGCTCAGCGGGCTTGCCGGGCCCTGCACTTGGGCCCCAGGAGAAGGGGACTGGTTTCCGGGGGACCGGTACCCAGACTCAGGGGGTGGTATTCCCGATAGTATTGATGTAGCGCCCGCAGGACGGTCTCCTCGGAGCAGACGGGCTTCAGCCTCCGGGCAGTGGCCACCGAGCAGCGAAATTCCTCCATCTGGTTTTTATAGTGCTGTGTGCTCTCCTGGAAGATCTTCAGACAGTGGGCCATGTTGTCCTTGCTGGTGGCTTGCTAGCAGCTAAGGTAGGGCACGAAACCTGCAAGAGCCAACAAATTGCAGCCTTCAGCGAGGCCGTCAGAACCTACAGAAGCTCCCGAGAATCTCAGCCCACTGCTTGGCATTTCTTCCCTGGCCGGCAACACTGCGTTTTCCCAAAGGCCATTAATACAAGCAGGGCTGTTGTTTGCGCTGCACTGGGCCCTCCCAAGGCCACACAAAAAAAATGACCTTGGAGCTGGGGAGGGAAGGCCCATTTCAACAAAGACGATGACAGTAATATTCTTTGATAGCAAAGCCCCTGATGTCAGTCTGAACAGCAAATGGGGAAAGCATTTAATGGGCCAAAATGATAGTCTGAGGAGTAATTGAAATTATTCATCTTTTTAGAGAGAAAGCTTATTTTCCTTGACACTTCCCAAATGCAATTTGGGATCTTTTTTTGTTGGACTATCGGGAAATTGCGGGCTTATTAAAAGCTGAGACCTATTACACAAAAAAGGTAAATTCATTATCTCTGGGGCCGACCCCCTAGAACAATTTTTTACCATTTCCCACAAAATAACATATAATCATTACAATTAGTATGGGTAAAACACAAGTATTTATTTAAACTGGAGGCTGAATCCCAGGGCCTACACTATGGTCACAATAAAACTATTTTTTGAAAGAACAAAATGAAGAAAAATTGGTTAAGAACTTGGTTTTCAAGGGCTAAATAAATAAATAAATACCCCTCGCTCATTACTGAAGCCCAACATTGTGTCCCTAAAGAAAACCTGACTTCAGAGTCAAAAAGCAACGACCCTGCCTCCCACACCCTACAAGAAGCCACCTCTCGAAGAATCTAATTACTCGACTATTCTCGAAGTCCTCCCCCCACCAGCCAGGCTCCTCAACCCTGGGGCAATTAAAAGATACCCTCGTGTTGCGAGGGGAGATCGTAGAAACCGAAGGGTCCTGCCACCAGGACCTACTGGGGCCTGGAAAAATTTTATGTAATTGTATATATGCACACACACAGAGGAATTCAAGCTACCTTCGAGAAGTCTTACTGAGGGCCAGGACGATCTTAGGAGAAATCTATCATTATCCCGTGGAGAGGGTTGAAGTTGTGTCTCTCGAATAGATATGTCCAAGTCCAAACCCCTGGGTCCCATGAATGTGACCTTACCCGGAAATCGGGTCTTTGCACACGTCATTAAGGATCTGGGAATGAGATTATCCTTGACTGGGGATGGGCCCTAAATCCAACCGTCTCTGCCTTGGTCCACTGTCTACATCTGGCCGGCTGGCTGGGCCAGGACAGGCACTTTTGATTTTTAGGACACTTGTTGAAAGCACTCCGTTATAAGAGAAGGGAGAGGGCGATCTGAGAAAGAGACACAGAGGTGCAGGGCAGAAGGCCGCATGAAGAGCCATGTGAAGACAGGGGCAGAGACTGGAGCCATGTGGCCACAAAGCCACGGAACAGCTGAGGCCACGAGAAACTGGAAGAGGCAAGGAAGGACCCTCCTCTAGAGCCTTCGGAGAGAGCATGGCCCTAGCAACACCTGGGTTTCAGACTGCTTGCCTCCAGAACTGTGAGAGAATAAACATCTGTTGTTTTAAAGAGCAGCCCTAAGAAACTAATACACCCATTTAATAGACATTTTTACTTACCACAGAAAGTAAGCAGCTCTTACAATCACATACATCGAGGCCGAGCAGGGACTGAAACCTCGGTTTGGTAACAACTCAAAGCCTGTTCTCTTAACCAACCAGTAGGACCAGGGGTGAGGCTGGGCGACCTTGGAATAGTCCCCGTGCCTCTCCTCTCCTAAGAATACCTTATGTGAGAGCTGAGGGCCCATGAGGACCACCTGGTTTGTCACAGAGATGTGACTTAGTAAGTTCTCAGTAGCCCAAAAGCCCGAGGAGGAGAATCTTTAGATAGGGTGGCCAACTGTTTGCCAAGGACTTAGGGGTTTCCTGGGACTGAGGACTTTCCAGACAAACCGGGGCACTTGATCACTCTCCCTCTAGGGGACCCAGGAAGGAATGGGACCCTAAGAACAGCCCTCGTGCAAGACTTGAGAAAGCTCAACTTGGGAAAAAGGACAGGGCCTCGGCTTATTCATTGTGTCTAACCCTCATCTTGACCCCGAAACCCTGAATACATATTAAGTGCTTCCTGCATACCAGGCCATGTCCTGCAAGATCTGGCCTAAGTTCTCTCTCTCCACTCGTCAGAACTCAGTTATCAGCCATCTTCAGCAAGGGAGGCTTTAACAAGTGTATTAAAAAAGCTAAAGTGCCCATAATGCCCAGCCAGTCAGAAAGACAGGGACGGTGACCAGGACCAGGCACATCCCCAGGGCACACCACCACTTACCACTGTAGCCCGGTGTGATGGGCAGATGTCTCATGAAGGTCTCGGAAGACTCCATGATTTCGCTCGCTGTTAACGAAGGGAAGAGGGAATGAAACGATCTCATCCAATGTCCCTGCCTCAAAACTCACTGTGTGTGTGCTGGAGCCCTTGGGAGTAGAATGACCCCAGCAGGGGGCTGGGACAGAGAGGAGCACCGCCACCTTCACGCAGAACCGGAAGACACTGTTGGCGTCAGTTATAAAAACATGGGGCGTTCACCTTTTACATGAACTTAGATACAGGTGTGCAGATCCCCGTCCACGAGCGTCTCCCCTCCTGGGACCTCCTCCACCCACCCAGCCTTCCAGCCAGCGAGCCAGCCTGCCCACCGTCATGAACTGTACACACACTGAGGCCAGCAACTATGATGAGGTTAGGAATGTAAAGACGAGCGGGACCCAGAAGCCCCCCTGTGAAGCCCCTGACCCTCAGAAGAAGGAAGAGATGAAGCACTCCCACCCCCAGAGCCTTTCTTTCTCCAGGGGGAAAAGGTCGCACTGGGGATGTCTCCTGCCCCCCCCCACACCCTCCCCCCCCCACCACCACTGTCAGGACAACGGGCAGTGTCTGGAGACATTTTTGGTTGTTACCACAAGCGGATGGGGTGCTATCTAATGACTTAGAGGCCAAGGATGCTGCTAAACATCCTACAAGACAGAGGGCAGCCCCACAAAGAAGAATTAGAATAGTTCTGGCTGGAAGGGCTCAGAAGTCCCCAAAGGTCGGCATAGAGTCCAAGATGGGTGAGCAGAGGGTGGGGGTGGGGGGTGGATCACCTGACATCGGGTTTATGTGGCTGCTGCATCCCCAGCCAGAACCCGTCCCCCTTCCAGGATGGCTTCTGGTCCCCCCCAAAGGGACAGGTCCTGCATCTGGGCATCTGTTGATGCTGCTGCCAAGCCAGTTCATCTCTCAAAAGTGAGGCCTTGGGGGCCACGACGGGTGGTCTCAGGGGTGGTGGGGAGGGCCACGGTCCACGTTCAGTCAGCAGTGCTGGGAACTATAAACACGCTCAGACTCAGAGCGCTCGCTCCGACGCAGCTGACGCGGAACCGCACTCCTGTTCCATCCTCCGTGCCCTAAGGGTTAGTTCCCGTTTGAGTCCCCCATTTATAGATGAGAAAAAGAAGGCACGGAGAGGCTAACTTGTTTAAGGGTTCTCCCATCCAAGGAGGTATGAACGGACGGACGACATCTAATTCTGAGGGCAGCATTATGTTATCCAAAGGCGTGGCCCTGGGGAGGGAGCTCAGTCCGGTGAGGGTGGGTGGCAGCCTGGGCAGCGGCCTGGAGGAGGTGAAATCCGAGGGGAGGAGCGTGGAGAGGACGTGTGCTGGGGGTGGGGGCCCGGAGGGGTCGGTAAGCTCCACCACAGCGCCCCCCCCCCCCCCCCCCCGCCTCCTGTCCCGGGGCAGCCGCACTCCCGCGTCCTCACCTGGGCCCGTCGGCCAGGATCTCTGCCAGCCCGGCCTCCAGCCCTCCAGGTCTCCCAGCCTCCGCCAGCGCTCCTGGCCTTTGTGCGCTCACCCCGCCCCGGGGGGAGGGGAGGGGAGGAGGCCCGGACCCGCCCCGCTGCCCCTCCCCCTCGCTCCCCCTCCCGCACTGGACCGGAGCCCGCCCCGCGGGCCAGGGGGCTTGGGGCAAACCTAGTCCATATGGGGGCGCTTCCCCTTGCTGCCGGCTCAGCGTCAGCCCCAGGCGTGAAGTGCAGGGGTTTGCCCAACCAATACTAGGCCTCTGAAGCTGTTCTCCGTACATGGTCTCCCCCCACTTGGCCCCTCTGGGTTTTGGAACTGGGGGGAGCCCGACGCGAGAGGATCTAGGTCAAAGTCGCCTTTTCTGCTGTCGACCCTGGGGCGGCCTGGTGGGGGCGGGGGAGGGGAGGTAAGAGGGTTGGCAACCGGCCTTCCTCCCGGATTCAGGGCGGTGTGAGGGGCTGGCAGGGGGGCGGCAAGCAGCCTGGGAGGGAAGGAGAGGCCCGTGTGGGTGGTGACTTCCCTTCACACCCCTGCCCCCCCAGTCCTCTGTCTTCAGATGGTGGGGACAGGGAGGGGGATGGAAAGGGGCCAATGAGCCAAAATGAAGAGGGGGGTGCCAGGGAAGTGGAGCCAGACCATTTTCTAATCATCCTCATTTGATGGGAGCTGCAGGGGACCTGAGGCTTCCTCTCCCTGGATTGAAACCAGGATGCCCACTGAGTGACCGGGACAGCAGGAATGAGGGCCTTTCCAGACAGCTAGTCCCAGTGGGGCCCTGTACTCCAAACAACTGAAACCTGATCACCCCAGGGCACTACTTTCCCACAGATTTGTTTGTGTCACTGCCTCTCCCAGCCTTACCTGCCTCTACTTCCCGGGAGCTGAAATTCAGATGAAGGCTGGTGAAGCTGCCCACTTAGGAAGAACCCCTTTGAGTCCCCTTCAGTGTCCTTAGGACTCCACTACAGACTCTCCGGAAGCTTCTAAAGCCAGCTCTGGAGGGTGACCCGGACATAGAGCCTGGAATAAACTCAAGATGAAGCAGCCAGCAGGCCATGCCTGCTAGGATGGGAGGGCTAGGCACCAGGCCTCGGCCCTTCCGCGTTGTCTTCAACCACCTGCATCTGGGTCTGGTGCAGTTGTCTGCCCCCACCCAGGCTCATCTGCCTTCTGTCTGCCTAGACCACTTTCTGTAGCTTGGAGGAAAAAGGGGCTCAGGAACATGGATGGAGCCTTGGTTCCCAGCAAACAAAGGAGCCAGTCTTGTTGGAACGATAGTTAATTTTAAAAAGCTTGTAACACTCGAGAAAAGACCTGAAACTCAATCTCCATCTGAGTGAGATGGGGCAGAGGGGGAAGTCAGCAATGATGCATCTATAATTCCATTCACAAAATCATAGTGCAAAAAAAAAAATTGGGGCCACACGAGATCCAGAGTTTTTGCTTTATTAGACGTCTGTGAAGACAGAGTTTGCAGGTACAGTCTCGTCAAGTTGTGAACAGCTGTGAAGTTCTGTGGAGTGTGAATTTATCTTGTAGTGAACAAGACCCCAGTGGCTGATATTTTAGAATAAAGTTCCATGTTCCAAGCAGATGAGAGGTGTGACGTAACGGACAACAACTTTTATACGAGTCATCCACTTAGTCATTTCCCAGCATAAATACGCAGCTTACTCACAGCTACTTCAACTCTACAGTGTGAAATTTGATCTTCGACTAATAATGCATTTGGACTCCTGTTTATATTGGCGCATGCGATTCTTTGCCACCCTGGCAATTAACCAGACCTAGACTCTAAAAGCTAAACTTGATCTAAATAACATCCTAGGGGGCGGGCAGGCTCTGCAATCTGGACTCAATCATAATCCAGACTCAATCTTCAACTCTGCGTGAGTGCCTGTATGTCTCCTTCTCTCTCCTATCTTGTCTGTCTGTGACTTGTCTGTCATTCAGCATTTACTAATGCCTGCTGTGTAGAGAGAGGGCAGTTAGAAAGGTGATCCTTTGACAGGTCTGCTTCCAAAACATGAACATCAGATAATACTCCAGGGACAGCTGAGTAATGGTCAAGAGAACAGGCCTTTTAGAAACTTTCTAAGATTAGAAAATGTGTCCACGTGTATTTATCCAGTGTTCTCATTCTACAGTATTTCCGGGGGCAGGAGGGAGAGGAGGGATGGATTGGGGGCTTCCCTTTAAGAAGCTCGACTATTGGGGCTGCATTTCTGGGGCCAGAAGAAAGTCCGGTAAAGTTATCACCCCTCTCCATCACCTGCTTGCCAACAGCGCAGAATTCAACCAACTCGCTAAAGAGAAATCAGACAAGGAGACAGCCTCAGTGCAAGGTGGGAAAGGTCTTACATTAGCCAAAAAAAAAAAAAAAAAGACTTCACTAAATTACTCACACTTACACTTAATCGAGTGGAACAGCTGGATTTGTGCCCCACTTGATTCCTTCCTGGAACCCTCTTGTGCAGACAACACGGCACATGGGGACCACATCTGGCCATCAGAGTGACCCAGCTCTGCCCCACAAGAAGCTGACAACCCTGCAGGGACGCAGAGAGTTTTCGTAGGTCGTCCTGCACAGTCACGTGGCGTACAGAACCAGAATGTTCAGCTCTCAAAGACTGGACAGGAGAATCGATACATGATTAATGCTCCTTTCAATGTAAACTGTGAGCTTCTGGGAAGGATGTGAGTGAAGCAAGGTCTGACGAAGCTGTTGATCCAGCTGTTGTCCCTTTTTTTTTTCCAGAGTATTCGGAGCCTCCGCACCTCTGACTCTTGCTCAGTCTCGCATACATAGTCCATAAGCTTAGTATCGGGTACAAATGGATAAGTAAGCGCAATTAAAAAATGAAGCCATGGGAAATTAAAGGCAGCAATGTCATCAACAAAATTCAAAGAGCATTTTCCTTTTGGTTTTTTTTTTAACAAAGCACATTGTAGAAATAAAGATTCTGTACAATATTCTAATACTGTATGTACATAAAATTATATTACTTATAACTAAATTGAGAAGTCTTATTTGCAGAGTATGGCTGGCAACACCAAAGAAAGACCCAGAACACTTAGCTTTTGAAGCAGAGCAGGCAGCAAGAGAACCCCAGCAAACACACCTCTGTGCCTGGATGCGCAATCCTGCTACGAAGTTAAGTTACATGACTAGCATTCTCTAGGTCAGTGGTTTGTTCGTGTTTCACATTCTAGCAGGGAATTCTGCAGCAGGCGGTGTGGAAAGACATGTTCAAATGAAACTGGAAATGCTATTTCGAATCTGCATATTGGCTATGGTAATGGGTTTGTGAATCCAGCTTGCCTTCGAAGTGAGTTCCTTAGCTCATCCTCCCTTCGTTTATTATGCATGCCTCCAGGGATTTCAAATAGGAATGAGTTCCAGCAGAGACACCAGTTGGTTCCTCATCTGTTCTTAGGGTCCCTTTCTTCCGACCTTCCTCCTTTGCAGGCTATTCCTGTGAGGGCTAAAAGCGCCACCCCCAAGCCTGGTGGAGCCCCAGCCCCACTCACAAAGGGCAGAGTGTGGGACCCCGGTTCTTCACTTGAAAATCCCTCTCCCCAAGGGGGAGACTGCAGGCGCTGGTGTGTGCTTCAGCTTCCAACAAAACCTCAAGTTAGGAGTTCTCAGATTCCCATGGAACCAGAGTCCCCCGTGGTGTCTACTGAAAATGCAAATGCTGGTCCCCTCCTCCCCCACCAAGACCCAAATTCAATTTGTAAAAGGAATAGGATCCAGAAACCTGCTTTTAAGAGGCACCCAGGCAGTTCTCACAAGGGGATCCACAGATCAGCTTTGAACCGACCTGGCTGAATTCATCAAGTACAAATCTATGAATTCCTTTTAGATACGCCTAAAAAACTGAAGATTTTAGTGAAACATTTCATAGTACAGATTCTCTACCCATGTATCACCAATGTATTCTTTTTGAAATGTGGGAATGCGGGGCCAAAACTCTTTGGGAGATGAGGGGGAGAAGGGAGGTAATTTATAATATGGACCCTTGTCAAGGTGAGGGGCTGTTCCAGATTCCCGGGCTTGGTGATGTGAACAAGGCAAACTGCAAGCCCATTTCCTCACACAGAAGCCTACTAAGGTTAACTTGAGTTATTTTATGAATTCAGAAATCAGGATCTGGCATCCGGGGAATGATGTCCCAGCGTATGATTTGGGATAAGTCAGCAGCGCCTAAACCACCCACTTCGCTCGAAGCCAGCTTTCACCTGCTGAAAAGTGAGGGCATCAGCTCTCCCACTCACTCGAATCCTAGTAGATTAGCTCAGGCGATAGTTACTCCTCACTGAAGCTATTCAGAATTGAAATTATGAGAACCTAAAATAGTGCCCAGCGTGGGCAGGCCTCTCCCACCAGCTGCACATGCTCCCAGCTCCCACTGAATCACCGCTTTTAATCACATGATGATGAAAAGAAATTAACTGCAGATGGACAGCATTTTATATTGACTGCCATCCAAAAAAACGTAAAAAGAAAAGTCTCAAATAGATTAGGGCATCCTAACAGAGATCCGTTCAAAGCAAGCTGAATCGCCGCTGCAGAAACGGACTGACTCCCTTGTCGGGTGGCTGTCTCACCACTGGGCACCTATGAAAACTAGCTGCTCTTCCAGGATCCTCAGATTTCTTATTCCCAAACTTCCGACAGTTTTTTCTGATTCCAGTGTGCCCTCAAAAATCCCTAACTGTTTCTAGCCCTAGTCGTTCCCATCTTCCCTGCTGAAATTCAGGTGGGCGATGCTGAAGGTCAAGGACAGAGAAAGAAGAGTCAGGGTTGAGGTCAGCAGATGCAGGGGAACAGAGTCCAGGGGTGGGGGCGGGGTTCGCAGGCGGCGGGGCGGGTCTGTTAGTAATTTAAGAAGTCAATCCCAACCTTGACGCTCTTCGAGGTGGCTATGTCGACGGCCGTGGCCTTGATCTCTGTGTCCCCGAACTGCATGAGGGTCTGGATCTCCCTCCGGGCGGGCACGGCTGTGCTGCTGGTCCCTGTGAGATCCAGGCGGAGCGTGCCGCACTTCTTCACCCCCGGGTCGGTGATGAAGCTCACGTCGTCGTGCTCGCAGCTGTAGATGTTGATGACGATGACCAGCTGGGAAGGCTTGGCCGGGGTGTAGCTACGCTTGACCAGCTCCCCCAGGGCCACCGACTGGTCGGCGGAGATGAACTTATCGAAGACATCGGTGCACCAGCGAGTACCGTCCTTCACCAGCAGCTTCTCGGGTGGGTGCTTGCCCTCCACATAGCGGTTCAGCACGCCCACCCCATATGTGAGCGGCGACCGGCGCACCTTGATGACCGCGGGGTCCAGGCCGAAGAGGACGGCGCCCTTGAGGATGGTGAGGCCCACGTCCTGGGGGATGATGATGCGGCACTTGTCGCCGAAGGCAGCCTGGACCGCTTGCTGCAGGAGGGGCGCCTCCGCAAAGCCTCCCACCAGGAAGAGGAACTTGACAGTGGACACCTCAGGCTTCTGAAACAGGTCCCCTGAAAACAAAGAGGAAGGGACAGCGTTCTGTCACCAAAAGCCAGCCGCCAAGGGGGACCGGTGGCCTTGAAGACGTGGGGAACAGACATGGCTGAGCTGGTTGGGCAGAATTTTCGTAGAGCTGGTCTTTAAAAGAAAGGGGTTTGCACACCAGTATGCTCAGGAATAAAAACCAAAGCTGCTGGTAAGTAGACACTCATTTTTACGGCTAGATGGTGATGGTTCTAAGTAGTAATTTGTTAGGCATAAAGGAAGACTGCTAACGTTCTCCGAGCCTGTGGTCCTGTTAAGTCAGTCAAGGCAGGCTGTTCTAAAAACTGTCCTGTGGTTTTCAAAGGGGTTCTGATTTGGTAGGTGTGGGGTGGGAAGTGGATGGGGGGCCGGGATACTGAGAAAGGTCCCCAGTGAGTCTACGGCGTGTCCCTAGTGAGGGCCACTGAGGTAGCACAGTAACTGCATGGCCGGATTCTGTTTGCCCCCTCGCAGGAGACCTTTCTTTGGTCCACATAACTGTCCCTCCTCCACAGCAGACATTATGGCTCCTAGTGCATCCTGATGAAGCAAAGACTATACATTCCCTAGGCCCTGTCACTCCAGGAGAATATTACTGCAGAGCTCCCAGCATCCTGACTTTTGAAGTCAAACTCAAGGCCCAGGTGAAGACAGGCTCTGGGCTGCTTTATAGTACCTGAAGGCAAGGACCTGGAGAGCCCATGCCCAGAAAGCTCCCCCATGCATGCCCAGGCCCCGACCTGTGGCTCCCAGCCCCAGACCCCCTGCCAACCTGACTTCACACACACTAGCTAGTGATACTAGAAAATTCAGTCCCCATTCCTGGCTCTGCCCTACTGAGTGGCCGAGCCCTGGCTGATACTTACGGAGATGCTCAATGATGCTGTCAATGGTTGGCTTAAAAAGAGCATTCATGGCATCTGGACTCATCCTCAGCATCCCTTGTGAGGACCACTTCACGAAATCCACGCTGTGGGGGGTGTGGCACAGAGAGAAATAAGCACTGAGTGTGTGAACGGTACCCAGTCTATGTGCACAGAGATGGGCCCTGTCAGAAGAGCTGTCACACTGGAGTGGGCAGAAGGGTTCAAAAGTCCTTGGAAATATCCTCAACTGCCAGAACCTGGACCCTTAGGTGCTCAAAAGCCAAGACACAGCCTCTTCTGTTTCTCTTTGCTTTGGGCTGTGGCCCTTGGGATGGTGGAAGCCAAAGTCTAGTGCAAAATATAGGGGAAGAATTAAAGGGATCTTTCTCGTTTGAATGACATTTTTTAATGGCACAACAGTCCGATTCGAGTCCATTAAAGGCTCATGTGACATGTCCACTGTGCTGCTGCATAAGGCTACAAGCCTGGATGCTCAGGTGCATTTCCTTCAGCCCTGCAGGCACCTGTCCCATGACCGTGTCGAGCCTAAGCCTACCAGGATGGCCCTTTCTCTGTCAAAGGCACAGAACGTCCAAAGCAATGGCATGGAACAGAAAGAGCACTGGACAGAGATTCAGGATCACTGGGCTCCAGGATGGCCTCCACCACTCAGAGGCTGCGGGGCTTTGGGGCAAGTTGGGCTGCGTTTTCTCTGAGCCCCAGTCTCTTGTCTGGAAATCAAGGATAGCACAACTTGTCTTACCTCCCTCACAGGGGTTGTTGTGAAGATGAAGTTACATACCACGTCTGTGAAAACACTTTGGAAACTTTCTGGCCCTAAAGGAATGCCGGGGACTGTTTACTGCAGCATGTACCCCGCCCATTCTCAAGTTCAAAGAGGCCAAGCAAATGGTGTCTCTGTCCCTGAAGCAAAGCATGCACCAGCTGCTTCCTAGCATCACATTCCAGATGCTGCCAGGGCTGCCCGACCAGGCGGTCTTTCTGTGGCCTTGGCCAAAGGACAATGTGGGATGGTGTGGAATGACCCAGGGGCTGGCTGTGGCCAGTCTCTCCAGAAGGAGAGTGGACCAGCCCCAGAACTGTGTGAGCAGGACTTGGGGTTCAACTCGGAGCAAGCACCTCTGGAGGGGAGCTGGTGGACAGAGAGAACATGAGCCTGGTAAGAGTCTGGCCAGGACCCTGCTCCAAGGGCAAGAAGAGCTAAAATCATATCTACTTTGTTTCCCTTATACAGAACCCAGGCTTTTTAGAGAAATGGCTGATTGCAGGTCTGGGATAGGGAATATAGAAGACGAGCCAGGAGCATCTTCTCTAACCAGAAGTCAGACCAAAACGTCAAATCAACGGGACTCGGGAGCCAACTTGAACAGGCTCCTACTGGCCAAGATGGGGCATTTTGACTCTCAATCAGGATACAACCGCCATGGTTTAAAATACATCAAATATGCCTATATCTGTGAAATCTTAATGATACTCCCCTTGAGTCCCCACAAAAGAAAAAAAAATGCATTTGTCACTTAGGAGAATGCTAGAAAATCAACAATATTTTTTAACAAAAAATTTATAAATGAAAGGAAAGAACCAAGCATTTGTCTTGTCTTTCCTATATGAACTGTACTTCAGGGCAACCAAACCACTGAGGAGAAGAGTTTCTCTCTCCAGAAGCATGTAGCTAACAAATGCAGATGGAGTGAGAGACTAAGGGGCCACTCCTTAGCATAACGGACCTAGGCAACAACCCTCCAAGGCTGCTAGCATCTCAGAAGAAGCAACCAGCAAACAGCATGTGCTCCCTGATGTGAAGCAAGGGGGAAATATTACCCCCGCCCCGCCCATGTAGTGGGCTTGCCAAAAACTTAAACTTGACTCTGACCAAATGTCCAGCTCAATCTGCCGATTTGTAAGAAAATACCAGGGGGCTGAACATGTTACATGGGCGTGCAATGAGCAAAAACCCCAGACTGGAGGAAACGCTATGGGACAATCAGCTTTATCATCTAATAAACCATAAGGAAAAAAACAAGAGGGGGACCTATATATTAAGTGGGATGTAGGGGCAGGGGCAGATCAGAGAATTGCTGTGTATAGCCATCTTTTGGATATTAATGCAAACTGAAAAAAAAATTATAAGACAATGGGAGAGATTTTAATGTTAACTGGGTATTTGAGGACGTTGAAGAATGACTCATTTTAAGTGTGCTCGTGATAACAGTGTCAGGGTTATGATTTTAAATTTATCCCCCTTAAAGATACATACTGACATATTTATGGATTAGATGAGGATCAGATTTGCTTTAAAATGCTTGGGGGAGGTTACGTGAGGATTTAGGTTGGCCAGGAACTGACAGTTGTTGAAGCTGAATAATGAGGCTCATTTTGCCCAGAAGATGTTTGAAATTTTCCACTCTAAAAAGACTTTGAGAAACCTATGATTTTTGTCTATTAATTTTGTAATTCAGCTTTAAAACAGCTTCCAAATGTTCATTTTGCAACAAGCTGAACTACAAACACTTGCCTGCAGCCAAGAGACTCAGACTAGCAGGAAACCCAGAATCCCATGGGATTCATTCAACAAATATTTACTGAGCACCTTCTATGTCTGTACCAGAATCTGTTGTAGATACTGGTACAAAACACACAAAATTCCCTGCTTTCACAAAGCTTATAATTATTAGTACATAATAAAAGCTAACACAAAAATAGTACTTTCCAGGTCCCCGGCATTGTGCTAAGTGCCTAACATAGGAATTCACGTCATCCTCACGACAACCCTTTGAGGTAAGTGGAAACATCATCTCTGTTTTCCAGATGCAAAACTGAGGAACAGAGAAGTTGAGTCACTTGCCCCAGGTCACACAGCTTCTCTGTAGGACTGGAAGTCAGAGTCCACACCCCCTTCTTCCTTCCCATCAACATGACCCACCCTCTAGAATGACCTAAGCCATTGGTGAGTCGGACTCACTTGCTCTTCCTCAAGGCATGCTCCACGCTGTGCCCGCGGAACTTCTTGTAGTAGTCAATGAAGGAGAAGGGCAGGGTGATGTTCAGTGGGTTTGTTCGGTCCGGGGCTGCTGCCCTTTTACGAGACTCAAATGCAATCATTAAGTCAACCCAGGCCGCGGGACGCTTGATTTTGAATTGTTCGATAAAATCCTCTCCGAATATTTTACACAGAAGTTTTTCAAATTCATAATCTACTCCTAAGGATCCATAGGGTCCACCTGGGTCAAGAACAAAAGGAGAGACCCCCCCCATGTCAGAAATTGCCAGAAACTGAATCCAAACTCTGAGAAACAGCCTACCCTGTGTTCCTCTCAGAAACATCAAGTAGAGTGACTTAGACCCAGTTAGCAGATTGTAGCTCTAAATTTTTACTTATGCTTTAAAACCCTTAGGTTCTTCTGGGTGGAGAAACTTTTTCCTACAGAATCACCTGTCAACAAGCTGTTTAAATTCAATTACATTTTATTTTATTTTTAAAAGATTTTATTTTTAAGGCATCACTACACCCAACATGGGGCTCAAACTCACAACCCCGAGATGGAGAGTCACATGCTCTACCAACTGAGCCAGCCAGGCACCCCACAAAATCACTTTCATCTTAAATAAAATGGATACATATAACTAAGTATGAGCAACATAGTATTCCCACCCAAGAAATCTAAGGACAGGGTCTGAAAATCAGCAGGCCCACCTAGACCCCGTGATCTGTTAATGACTCATCATCCCACCCCCACCGAGGGAGAGAGCCTGTCGCTTGCTTTGGCAACTTTGATCCAAGACCAGGTGGCCTGAAACCTCCCTAGAAAGCTTAACCAGAGCACGAAACCACAGGTGACAATCATATCTTTCCAGAACTTTCAGAAAAAGATTCCCTTGTCTAGGATCTAAAACAGGCTCATTTTATGCCAAAACCCAAGTTACAGTCATTTGTGTTTTAAAGAACATTTAAATGCATTCTGCTCCTCAGTTCCACACAGGAACCCTCTCGGGCTAAAATCCCACGTGCTGGTAGCAACCGAGAGAAGGAGGTACCAAGAGAAATCTGACATGAGAGAAACGGCTCAGGAATGAGAAAATCAGCCATGCAGGGGCTCACCTGTTGCTTTATACAGTTCCTTCAGGTGTCCCTCCGGTAAGCGTATCTGATGGACGGTCAGGTCTACGGTGCCCCCGCCACTGTCCACGACCACATACTTGTCACCTGGGACAAAGACAGCCATCTTTTACACAGACCACTTGTCAGCCCCATCGTGAAACAAGCTGGGGGGTGACGACTTGGTATACCCAACAACACCCGTCAACCCTTCTCATTAGCACGATGGTTTTGCAAATTAGCTGCACAGCCAAGTTATTCGTGACTGAAGAGAATGCAGTAATGTCTGCCCAGAAGTGCCAGTTAGCATGGATGGTAAAGAACCCGGAGGAGTGGATCTGTAAGACAGAAGCTGTCCTGTGACACTCAGCTGCATCCCTGGCACGTACAAGGGGACAACTTCCTGCCAAGGTTTATAGCGCCGTAAAATGACCTGCTGTTTAACACAAGACTTACCCCGGAACTGGGGAGCTCCAATTCCCACTTTTCTTCTAAAGAGTCTGTATGGTTTTATAACATGCAAAGTTATAGCTCCAGAAGAGCTCTCCTTGGGTGGGTGGTCTTTAAAAACCACCTGATTCTGAACATTTTCCACACGTGCCAAAGGAACCAACAGGAATGCATTTTTGCCAACAATATAGAATAAATCCAGCAAGGGCAAAGGACATTCAAGGACGCTACCTTCCTCCAGCTCGGACCAGATTTCTCCTATGACATTCTCCACCAAAAAGGTCCGACTCTGCCGATTACGCCGTATGTGCTCCTTAGCTAGTGGCCGACAGAAAGAAAATGACGGGTAAGAAAGCACGAACAAGTGGGCAGTCATCTGCAGTCCGTGGAGGCAACAGCATGAGGAGGTTTAGGGACAGAACATTTAGCGACACTTGACCAAAAGGATTACATAAATACAACATTGGGAAACACAAAGCCAGACCGGTTCCACCAGCCTCCATCTCTTCATTGCATGGCAGCCTGGCCTGCGCCCTGCTGGAAAACTCGCCTTGGAGAAGAAGCAGCCCTTCCCCCGGTGACACTTCTTAGGGGTTACTAAATGCACCAGATTCCTGGCTTTGCTGTCCCGGGGAGGAACTTGTCTGCCAAGAAGCTTGCAGTGCACTTGGTTAAATTTCACCAATTTCACCTCAAGGAACCAGATCTGTCTGATGCCAGGAATGTCGGGGATGTTTTCCTAATCTGGATCCTGGATGAAAGGGACTGGAGCCATTTCCCGACCCAGGGGAAGCCAGTATGCTCTTCAGCCACAAGGCGGCGCTTCAGCCACAGGGCGGGCCCTCGGAACCTCGCGAAGCCCTGGCCGCCTTTCTGCTAACGCTGGGGAGCAACGCGGCTGTGTCTCAGGCCACTTAGTGGCTGTGAGGCTTTGTGTGGGGCGACTGCATCCCTCACAGGCTGCCCGCAGCCCTGGGAGGCAGACAGGGCACAGATCATCGTCCTTGTGTTCAGAGGAGGGAGGAAACCAGGTCGGACGAGGTTAAGGGGCTTGCAGTTCCCACGACTCTGTCTTGCGGCTCCACATCCACCCTTGGACCACAGGCCCTCATGCCTTTGAGATTCAACAACTTACAGTGACAAAGCAGAACACGAACGTTAAGAGATGAGAAAGGTGCTGTGAGAGGGTATCTGGGGATCAGCAGGGCACAGCCAAGGTGCCCATTGGGGCAAATCACGTAACCCCTCTGGGCCTCAGTTTCCACATCCATAAAATGGGGATAATAACACTTGGCCTAAGTTCCTCACAGGCAGAGCAGGGACTGGTTCTCTGATTTTATCTCAGCACCCAGTGTGATGCCCAGCACACAGGAGGTGATAATGAAGGCAAAGCACCAACTATGAGACTCGGTACCCAACAAATGATCACTACAATGAACAATTTAGAGCAACGCCTGATTTTACAGATAAAGGTTCTGTCCACTGCTCTGCTGCCCCATCCCACAACCTTGCCTCCCCCGCCACCACCAATTTTTCTAGTTCCTAAAAACTGGTGCTGCTGACTTTGAATTGCCCTACAAATCCATCTGTTGCTGGTCATCCACTTAAGGACCCTTGACCCTCTACCCTCTTCTAGCAAGGAGCACCGTGTTTGCAAAACAGTGTCTTCTCTGGGGATTAGAACAGCAAGAGCCGTCAGCTCTTAAATTCTTCGGGCCTTGGCGTTCAGTGATGAGGCCGTCTTGATTAAAGAGTTTCTGCAGGCCTGGGAGGGGTCCTCAAACTCAGGGCCTCTCTCCTGTTCCCAGCACTGGCTCCAGATGAACTTCTATTGCAGACCTTATAATGGGCATTTGGTTTGCTAAAACAATCTAGATGTCATTCATAAAAAAATGATCAAGCCAGAATAAAACATGTTCTGAGCTCTCAAAAAAAAATTACCATGTTTTTAGGCAAATTAAGCCCAAGATTATAAAAAGGGGATCCTTTACTGATCTCATGAAATCCTTTTGGTGCAAAATAATATGGACAGCAACCCTGTGATGCCGGAGGCAGAGGCCAGCCCCGTTCCCCTCAGTAGTGTCCACTGGGCGTCCGTCATGGAGGAGCATCAGAGGGCAGAGAACAGCCCGGGGGGCTCAGGGCCCTAATTCCAACCAGGGAGCTCCTGGTTAAGGGCCCTGCCAGGCCTCCCCAGGCAGCGCCCCCTCCTTCTGGGAGACAGGCCGTAACTGTAAAAGAAGGCTGAGCTAGAACCCCTGCTTCGCTGCCCCTCTGAGGGGTCATGGCCAACAGTGGGAGGATTTCAAAAACCAAAGAGACCTTCGGAGCGCAAGACGAGAGCAAATTCCACAAGGCACGGGACACAGACATGGAGCGGTGTGGAGGCAGACAGGATAAGTTAAAGGAAAGGAACCCCAAAACTGAGCTCTCGGGGAAGGCAAGCATTCGAAAACAGTTTCCCCTTCAAATGTGAGTGTTACACTTAGGACGTATTAAGAAAAGCTGCACTACGATTAGCTAGTTCTGACCTGAGTGTGTGTGTGTGAACCAGTAAGAGCGCGCACGTAAGGCAGGAAGCCCAGTCGGTCATGCATCTCTTTTCCCATGAAAACGATGCAGATAATTTAAATAAATATGTCATTCTGAGTATTTAAAACATTAATACATTTGATTTAGTTAGCAGGAAGGCTAGCCTTGCCATACTCCGGTGGAGGCCAAGCATTGCCCCAAAAAAGGCAAATCAAGTTGAAAAGCAACAGCTTCCATTTGCCCCGGGTGAGTCAGGTGTGAGGTGCTAGCCCTCAGCCCCGGCAGCCTGGGGCAGCAGCCTGGGCACCAGACCAGCGAACTCTCTGCCACTGTCTTATGGCTGAGGTTCACCGACTCCTCCGTCTCCGGTTGAAAATGCAGAGTGGCGACCTCTGGGGCAGCGTGACCGGGTGAAGAGGAAGAGGAGAATTCTGGAGGAGAGGACGCAGGGCCGTGCGAAGGCGGAGCCAGGGCCCCCTCGCCGTGGGAGAGTGCAGACACAGGCCTCAGGTGTGGGGACCCAGGAAAAGTTGGACCCAGGCTGTCGGGGGAACAGGGGGCGGTAGTTCCCGCTAATGTTCTCCCTCCTCCTCCTCCTCCTCCTCCTCCTCCTCCTGGGCCTTCCAGGATGGGGTGGGCACGGGGATGGGTGGCTTTCTGCCCCGAGGTCTCCTCTGGGAACAGCACCCCCAGCACTCCCATCAGTGCCTGTGCTCACTCACGTTGGTAGCTCTGACCCTGACCTAGGGTGTCTGCACCACTCATAGAGCCCCAGATAGAAGGGAAAACAGATCTGAGGACCGAAACTGTGACCAACTTGCATACAGGTAAATGTTAAAGAGGAAAAGTTCCTGGGGCGCCTGGGTGGCTCAGTCATTAAGCATCTGCCTTCGGCTCAGGTCATGATCCCAGGGTCCTAGGATCGAGCCCCTCATCGGGCTCCCTGCTCTGCGGGGAGCCTGCTTCTCCCTCTCCCACTCCCCCTGCTTGTGTTCCCTCTCTCGCTGTGTCTCTCTCTGTCAA